AGAGACAGCCCCAGAGCCTGCCCGTCCCCAGAGCCTGCCCGTCCCCAGAGCCTGCCCGTCCCCAAAGCCTGCCCCGTCCCCTAAGCCTGCCCGTCCCCAAAGCCTGCCCGTCCCCAAACTTACCTAGCCCAAAGCCTGCCTGCCCTCAAATCCTGCCTATCCCAGCCTCTGCACAGCCCTTATCTGGCAAAGAGAGACCCCTTCCCCCTTTTACAGTTAAAAGAGTGATGGTTAAATCCTGGGCACAGAAAAATAATTATTGGAGGATAATAAACAATAGGGAAAGAGGTAGAAAACGTTCTGAACTGGGTGGGAGACTTGTAAAAGGCCTGCCCCAGCTCACAGCAGCTCTGGAGCTCGCTAATGTCCCCACTCCATGGCAGGAGCGGGATGCTGCAGGACCAACATGCCCCCAGCAGCATGGCTCCCTTAGGATGGGTGACCTTGCAAAAAAGTGGGGGGATTTGGGCTGGATTTGAGTCACCTCCTGGGATTGTGGCTGTGTTTGGCATGCAAACATGTTCATGGGATGATGGAGCTTTACTACATTCTGCTCTTATGATTTGGTGCCTTTTTTCTCATAGTTTTGTGTATGAGGACAAGATGTCTTCTCCTAAAGTCTACATTCTGCAGCCTTGGATTACCAACCTGTTGGTGAACTACGAGCGGCTGAATGACAGTGATACTCTCCTGGCTGGGCAGGTCCTGCGGGTATGTACCGAGAGGGACTGTGCTAACGTGCTCCAACAGCATCTGAATTCCAAATTCCTGAAAGTGTTCAGCAATTCCCAATTCAGTGGCTGTGTATGGGTGACCCTCCATGAAGTCCCTGATTATACCTTTTTTTTTTGAGGTGGAGGAGCTTTGCTTTGCCAACTTTTGGCAGCTTTGGATGATTTTTGCACCTCTGGTAGGTGTACCCTGTTCTTGTCCAAGGAATTTGCAGTCTCCAAGGTCATCTTCTCTCCTAGACTCACACTCTCAGGCTGCCTTGCCTTCCTCCTTCTCCCCAGCCTGTCTTTCCATGTACCATGCCAGTTGGTGGGTGGTCCTGTCAGTGGGTAGCAGGAGGCAGAAGCAGGACCTGCTGAGGTGGCTGAAGCCTTGTCCTGTCTGGTGGTGAGCCTTGGTGTCACCAGGACCTTGCTCTCCCCTGAATGCTGGTGCTTCCAGAAGAGCCTATTGCATGGTGATTTAGGGGCTCTGAGGCACCAAACCTGCTCCTGTGTCATGCCTGGAGAGCTTTTTGTGCAGCATTAGTGATAGTTTTGACATACAATTTTCTCTACGTGGCAGGATGGAGCTTTAATAAGGGGGCTCTTGCCTGTTTGAGGCCTGATGGGCAGTGGGAAGAAAGCAGGAAGAAAACAACCGAGCAGAGTCAGTGCTGCTGATCATTAGCTGTGGACTTGAAGGGTTTGGATGAAGATGGTGTGAGACAACTGGGTGGACAAGCAGACATGGGACCTGACAGGCACGACGTGCTATTCCTGCCTGTTGTGGTTTGAGCCCAGAGGGAAACTGAGCACCATGCAGCCGCTCGCTCACTCCTTCCCCCTCAGCAATGAGAAAATAAAACAAAAATCTTTGGGAATTTAGATAAGGACAGGGAGGGATGACTCACCCATTATGGTCACCAAAAGACTGACTCCTTAGGGGAAGAAAAAAGAAATACCAGTTTAATTCAAACACCAAACCCAACAACACTCAACAATCAAACAGAGTAGGACATGAGAAGTATAACCACATCTTAAAGACACCCTCCTCCACCCCTCCCTTCTTCCTGGGCTCTGCTTTGCTCCTGATTTCTCTCCCTCCTCCCCCACAGCGGTGCAGGGGGTGGGGGTTGAGGTCAATTCATCGCCCGTTGTCTCTGCTGCTCCTTCTTGTTCAGGGGGAGGACTCCTCACACTCATCCTCTGCTCCAGTGTGGGGTCCCCTCTCGTACAAAACAGTCCTCCACAAACTTTCTCCAACATGAGTCCTTCTCGTGGGCTGCAGCTCTTCCCAAACCGCTCCAGTGTGGGTTCCTCCCCTGTGTTGCAGTCGGCCCAGTCCACTCTCCCAAGCAGGAGACCCAGCAGTTAATGAGTGGATCCCTCTCTGGATTTGAGGAATTGTGAGAGTTTCTTTGGTGTGACTACTCTGCAGCCTACACCCACTTGAATCCTCCACAGTGAATGAAGTTTGGGAGTATGTGTTGAGCAGCAGAACCTTTCCCCAGTTACTTTGGGCTCCAGCTATGCTTATCTTCTTCTCTGTTTCAGAACTATAACTTCCAAACCTACCCTCTTCTTTATCTTGTTTTTCACCCAATCCTGTGAGCAGGACACACCATGCCTGCTGCAGAGGCTAGTGCTCTCTTGCAGCCTCCTCTGTTGCAATCCAGAGTTGCCCATAGCGAGTGAGCACGCGGTGGGACTGGCCACTTGCACACTGGACTTCTCCCACCAGGGCCAGTGGGCACTGCTGGTGGCTGAGCTATGATACCTACAGGAGCAGGATCCTGGTGGCATGGGCATCCTTCAGCCCAGCAGCAAGCCTTGTTGGCTTGGACAGGGCATTTATGCAGTGGGATTGTCAGGCCCTTTGTGTCAGAAGGTCCCAGTTAATGATGACAGGTCTTTTTAGCGTGGTGGACACCTATTAAAGGACATACACACACCTCTTCTCAAATGGAGGTGGCATTCCTGAGTGATGGGACATGCCATTTCATGTTGCCATGCATTGTGTCCTGCCATCAGCTGTCAGGTGAATGATGTCCATGGCCAGTGTCACCAGATTGTTGGTGTGGACTGGGAGGAGGCTGGCCAGGGTTGTAGGGATTGGGGCAGGCCAGGATTGATCCACAGCTCCCAGCCCAGGCAGAAGGCAGGTACGAGGCTTGGAGGAGCAGGTTATTGCTTTCCTGAGGGGTTATTTTGACCCAGCATGGACATGGCTTAGTACACGCTCAGGGCTGTTATACCTGGAGCTTCATTCAAAAGAAGGGTATGGCTGTAGTGATTCTGCTGGTTACTGCTGCTCTCTGTCTCCCTCTGCTTTGCAGGGGAGCACATGTCCCCAGTCTGCCCAAATCCCTTTTGCCTGGATTCTTGCTGCTGGTTTGGGTAAAAAAACCCCTTGGTTGTGGCTTCTCTCCCACCTTGCCTTTGATTGCTCTCACACAGTGTGGCGTGTCAGGGGAGGTTCAGTCTGGACATTAGGAAAAAATGTTTCCCAGAAAGAGTGGTCAGAGAGTGGAACAGGCTGCCCAGGGAGGGGTGGAGTCCCCATCCCTGGGTGTGTTTAAGGGTTGTTTGGGTGAGATGTTGGGGGATGTGGGGTAGGGGAGAACTTTGTAGAGTCTGGCTGAGGGTTGGACTCGATGATCCCGAGGGTCTTTTCCAACCTGAATGATTCTGGGATTCTGTGTCCCTTATTCTGTCTTGATGTGGAGCCTGCTCAGTCCAGTCAGGAGGCTCGGGCACTTTCTGGACCCCTTGGCCTTGGGGTAAGCGTTAACCCCTGGCTTCATGGTGAATGGTGACCTTCTGTCCTAGGAGTCAGGGCTCTCAGCCAGGCATGGTGTTCTGTCTTTGTTCACGGAAGTGACATTTCTTTTTTCCCCCTTTCCAATCTCTTAATAGGTTTTGAGTGACTCAACTTCTCCAGGTGAACCTGGGGTCCTCCAAGATGCCGTCCTACAGGTCTCAGATGGGCCCTTCTACATCCGCGTGGTCATTACACCCGAAGCTCTGCAGGCAGAGGAAAAGTGGGTTCCACCATGACTCGGCTGTGGCTGGGACAGCGGTTCTCCACAGCTGCTAGTGGGGCTCCTGACTGGTCTTGTTTCAGGTTGTGTTAAGCTAAAGCAATCACGGGGTGGGGAGTCTGTGTGAAAGAACTGCTAAGACAAGAAAGCCGGAATGCCGGTGCTCCGGCTTCAGCTGGCTAGGATGGGCAGGGATTGATGGCAGAAGCTGCCATGTTGAGTACACGTGATTAGAAAGGACTAAAGAGCCTGTGGGCTCTGTGAAAGGAGCCAGAGCATTAGCGATGGTGGCCTGGGCTGCTCCTTCAGTGCTTTCCTTAGTTTCCCCATTTCGACACCCCTAGGCAGGGTGCTGGTAGCAGAGCCACGGTTAAGAAGCAGGAATAAATTGCAGGAACCAGGAGCCCTTGGTCCCTTGGTTCCAGCATGCCCTGGCGTGGTTGGCGTAGCTGTTGGGAGAGCCCTACTGTGTGTCTGGGTGGTCCAGCTCCATTCTTCATCTCCAAGACGTTCCTGCTCTGCTCTTTTTCTAGCATCCACATGCAGGTCCAGCTTTCCAGCCTTATTTGCAGAATTATCATCTTGCAGAAGTACACAGTGTGTTTCCGAGAGGAGGCCAGATTGGTAAGTGGAGGATTAATGCTAGAGCTGGGGTGGGTGCATGGCTGTTCGCTGGAGGTGGCAGCAGGGGGGGGAATACAGAAGTGCCTTATGCCTCCATTTTCCCTGCAGGAGGACTGTGAGTTTTACCTGACGACCCAGCAGTTCATCGTGCTGCCCATGGAGAGGCAGAGGATAGAGTCATCCAACGGGTATGGCCCACAGGGCGGGCTGGGAGCTCTGCTCTGGGGGGGGGCTTCCTCATCTTACCAGAGCGGCGCTGACCCTGGGAGTCCTGGTGCGACCTGGTTGTGCTGGGGACTTTTTGCTCTTTGAAAGAGGAATTGTCTCCATTGCAAGCTGTGAAGGAATATGGGGATTCAGAGGGGATCAGTAACAGACATCTCTTGCTGCAGGAACAAGGAGCCCTCTGTGATGCAGAAGATAAAGGAGCTCTGGCTGTAAGTACAGGGCTGGCCATTGCTGGGGAATGTATCCAGACACTGTGCAGGCTCTGATTGGGGTGAGAGCAGGCTGGCAAGGTTATGGCAGTTCCTGGTTAGGACGTGACAGAGCTGAGTAGACCATGTGAAATGAGATCCTGGTGGTGCAGAAGGCTTTCCATCCCCAGGCTCTTCCTCTGAGCTGGTAAAGCTGTGAGGAAACACCCGTGGGGAATGTGTTCCTGCCAGCTGTGGGCAGCATGGCTGGGTGGATGAGCCCTGCACAGCTCATTCTTCACTCCGTGCTTGGAGACCCAACTCTGGAGATCCTCAGAGGTCTCTGTCAGTCCATCTGTGGAGTGAGGCTCCCTGATGGCTGATACTGGGCAGAGGTTGGTGGCCAGATCCAGCACCCAGTGGGGAATCCACTGCTTCCACAAGCCACTTCTCCCAAGACAGGGTGCTCGACCTGCGACCGAGATGCAAAGGGCTGCTGTGTGTGCCTCAGCCCTAACCTGCCTTTGTCTTCTCCTTGGTCATTGCAGGAGGAGTCTTGCTCTGAAGAATGCTCCCAGCTCAGGTAAAGGTTTGTGGGGGGCACACGATGGTCTGACTGCCTGGTGGGGCTCCTGGCTCTCCTCAGCTTGGTCCATGTTAGACAGACGTAGCACAGACCTGACAAGATGTCACAAGGCAACGTTGTTAAGTCCAAAGCAGGACAAGATGGTGCTGACAGCTAAAGCAGTGTGGGCCATTGCTCGGCCTTGCTCACGCTGCTGCTTCAGGAAAGACAGTCTTTAGAAGCAAAGGATATGCAGAATTTAGTATGTTTCCACAGATTTCGGTGTACATTACAGTCGTGCAGCAGAGTAGAAGCATTTGCAAGTAAGGCTTGCCTGAATTAAGGTGTCTTCTCCACTGACATTCACGTGTTCTTGCTCCAGAGCCATCCATCTCTCAGCTGATTGATGCTATAGGACAGAACCAGCTGGAGGTTTTGAAGGAAAATGCTGAGAAATGCTTGGATTTACATATGCAGAAGGAGGTGCCAGTGGTGGTGAAGGATGAGGTTCCCATCACCCAGTGGGAAGCACAGCGCAAGGAGGAGGTCAGTCTGTCTGCTGTGACCATCTGAGACCAGGCTGTCACAGCTTATGGTGCTCTGGAGGGGTGGGAGAAGGAAGGGGAAAGTCTGTGGGCAGAGCTGAGATTTGTTGGGGGGAGAGGTGATGGTTGGCTGCCAGTTACGGGTGGGCTTCTGCATCTCAAGTGGGGCTGCCCAGCAAAAACCACAGAATGTGTCTCATTATAGAAGGGTGAGGACGTCTTCACGGTCCCGGCCAACACCCTGGTGATCCCTTCAAAGGAGGAGGCAGTTGGTTGTGATGATTCCAAGGCAGGTCAGTAGGGTGATTTCATCTGCAGGGGAGATGGGTGGGCAGTGCTCGGTACCTGAGCATGTGAAATAAGGCTCTCCCTGGGGTGGGGAGAGGACATTGCTCTGGCTGTGCAGCGTGCTGGGATGGGACCATCAGTGCCCCTTTCATTGCAGACACAAGCAAAGCAACTGCTGGGAACAGCGGTGATGATGGGACGGTGTCTGGTGACCTGAGTGTCGCATTCCAAGCCAGCCGTGAGTACTGGGACCTCCAGATCCCATCCAGCCTCTTAGTAGTTTCCTCTGCAGTTGGCTCAGCCCATCTTCTCCTTGGATCAAGTGGAGGCGGTACTGCCATGACCAGCTCTTTGGGAGACCAAGACCTGATCCCATTCCTGCAGCCTCCTGAAGCTGAGCAGCTTTAGTTCCTTGTGCTTTAGTTCCTTGTGCTGGGAGCATGAGAAGTGATTTTGATTTTGTCCCTTCGTCATAGAGCCTGAGTCTCCTGCCTGAGTGTGGGCTTTTGGCTGGCTGTGGTTCAGCACTGGGATGGGCTTGTGTCACCTTGCTGGGCTTGGTGTCACAGTGCTTTGCTGCAGAGGTACCTGCAGGAGCTCCATATAGAGAGGGAGCTGTCGTCCTGGACAGTGCAGGGTGTAGGAGAAGGTCTTCCTCCACCTGCCTGCTCTCTGGGAAGCGTCTGCCTCTCTGCTGCCTGCTACAGGGGCTGGATGAGGTCATTGAAAGGAGTCTGTCTGTAGTACACCCTAGTTTTGGTTGGAGAGGGCTCTTGGAGCTCCCCTCAAGTGCTCTCTCTGTCCGAGACACTATGCACGGTTCTTTGTAGCCGTTGCAGGGTTGGGAACAGGCAGCCGCTTTCTTAGCCAAAATCAACTCCGTGACCTGATCATTGCAGCCACTGAATCAACAGCCTTGTCGGAGAGCTCAGAGGACAACCCCTGGAACAATCTTCCCCCAATATCTTTGACCTTGAACTCTTCAGATGGTGAGTCCCTGTGCCCCAGGGCATGTAGCCTGCATTGCAGGCAGGTGGCAACCCCTCTCCTCCCACTGTGTGACCACGTAGCTCCTGGATGCTGGCTTTTTTTCCCCTGGCCTAAAAGTAGTGCTGCATTGTTCCAGTTGCCCTGTGCCTGCGTCATTCCAGTTCTTGTGTTCTCCTGCCCAACGTGACGTGCTGGAGCAGGTCTCGCCACCAGCTGCCTGCCTGATCTGACCATGCATTTTCTCTTACCAGAGAAGAACTTCACACACGATGTTTCACTGAACGCTGAGGAAGATGTGGCTGCTGACAGCAACACCCCTGACTTGCTGGAACCGTGTAGCCAGGACTCTTCCGAGGCATTCCCGCAGGGAGAGCTGGTGCAGACCTCCTCTCCCTCCCTGCTCTGCTCCTACAGCAACACCAGCCCGGTGGAGACCGGCACCCCCCAGGCAGCATCAGCTGTGGAGACAGCCTGCGATGCCTCCTCTGCTGCTCAGGGCCCACAGGTATCGGGGGGCTCCCAGGCCGCCCCACCATCTCTTTCGCCAGCTTTGTCCATCTTGCCTGGCAGCCACTTACAATCCCTGCCTGAAGGGACACCTCACAGGGAGCGGGCAGACTCCAGTGGCACAGCTTTTCCTCCGGATACATTGAAGTGTGGTCCAGCTTGTGCCAGGAGCCAGGGAGGAGATGCTGCAGGTGCCAAAAGAAAGCTGCCAGTGGGAGATGGCAAGGCCCTGCCAGCCCTTGATGGGCCACAGCATTCTGGAAGTGACCTACGGGGCAAGGGGAGAGATGGGAGCAGGAAGCTGGAGCCTGTGAGCACACAGAGGGCGAAAAAGAGCAGAAAGGAGGGGATGGAGCTGCAGCACAGAAAGGAGCTCTCCGAGGAGGAGGAGGAGGAGGAGGAGGAGGAAGAGCAAGCATCCCCAGCGACTGGCCCCAGCTCCAGGCCAGAGCAGCACAGAGCTCTGCAGCCGGTAAAGATGAAGCAGCTGGTGGGGTCCCCTGAGGGGAGGGTGTGTCCCTGGGAGCTTCTCTGTGTCCCCCCACTGCTGGTGTCTATGCCCAAGGCCTTTTCTCACCTGACTTGTAGGGATGGGGAGATGAAAGCAGGTGTTGATAGAGATGGTGGCCCAACCCTCCCGAAGGAGGATCTGGGGCACTGGGTGAAGCTGTGGTTGAGCTGGAACTGGGTGGGAACAACACTTCCTGGAGCATTTTCTAACTCTCCGGGTCACATATCATCAGAAGAGCAGAAAACGATGGAGGGAGAGACTCCAGAGTGTTCCTATGTGTATCGGTGTCTTGGGCTCTGTGGTGGGGCTGTGCTCTGGGCTTTGTGGCTGGGACAGACCAGCCTCACCTTTCCCTTTGCTTCTGCAGTACGTGCACGAGAAGCCGGTCCAGTACAGATACGAGGCACCAAGCCCTGAGCTCTGCAAGCAGATAAGATCTGTCAGGTCAGTGCAGTGATGGCCTCGTACAACCCTCCCTTGTTCCCCACCATGGCTGGCCCTGTGGGATGCAGGCATTGCTGCTTGCATCCCCATAGTGGGTCCCCAAACTCTGCCTTGCCCCTTGTCACCGGGCTGTGGCAGCGTGTCCCCAGCCGGGTCCCTCCTCACCCCGGCTCCCCCGGTCTGGTTTCGCAGGATCTCGAAGGCGGTGCTGCAGTGGGCATGCTGGATGCTCACGGAGAGGGAGATGGACTCCTGAGCTCAGACTGTCCTTTGTTTTTTCACTGGTTCAAGCAAAACAATTTAGGGCTGCAGTTGGGGGAGGGATGGGGGGGATAGCAGGACCCCTGTGCCCGTGGGCCTGGCTTGCAGAGACTGTGGCTCCAGCGGTGTTGGAGCTGTCACCTCTTGTAGGCCAGCAGCCTCAGTGCTGAGAGGGGAAAAAATAATCTGTTCAGAGATGCCTGTGTGTGAGCTGGCATCTCTTTCCCTCCTCTCCCTCCTTTCCAAATGCCCCAGCCCAGCAGCTGGGGACAAGAGGTGACCTGGTGCCACCATAGCAGGGGTGACAGCAATAGCAGAGGCCCCTCAACCTGATCCCCACTCTGAAGGCAGGAGTTTGGACATTTTATTGATTGGTTTAGGTAGGGTCCTGCATTGTTCATTACAAAAAAAATAACCCGCAGGGTTATGCTGTAGAAATTAAAAATTGTATATTTTTAAATACACAGCTCTTGTATTAAAAAAAAAAAAGAAAAAAGAAAAAAATAAGCATCTTGCTGCTTTGTCGTAAACATCTGTGTAAGGAATGCATTTGGTCCGGAGCGGAGGTCGACATGGGAGAAAGCATCTTGGGAGCTGGGGTAACGGTGGTGCCACGGGGAGAGCTGTGGGGACAGCGGAGCTGCGTGATCGAAACACAATGGGTCACGGTCCTGCTGGTGGAAACCTGCATCTTGGGGGTCTGGAGAAAGTAGTACCCTGCGGGGTGAGGAGCTGGAGAGGTGAAAGGGCCCTGGTAATGCTTGCTAAAAATGGCTGGCTGCCAGCACCGCCGCTGCCTGCCCAGCTGCTGCCTAAAATCACCCGTTGCGCCGCTGCAGCCTGCGGCAGCAGAGATCCAGGAAGGTGATGCTGCTCGGCGCATCCCTGGGGCTGCAGCACGGTCCCTGGGTGTCCCTGCCCTCCCGGTGCTGGTGGCCCGGCCGTCCCCGAAGCGGGAGGTGGGTGATGCCATCGTTAGCCGGCCCCATGGCCACATTCACGCCAGCCTGGCATGGAGCAGAGCTGTGCCCCGTTCTCTGCTCCAGCTGCCAACCACCCCGGCACCACGCTCTTGCTTGCAGGGTTTTATTGGGAACAGTGCAGCGGCATGCAGGGGCTTCACTGTCCCTGGGCTGGCTCCCCCTGGCCCGGCACCGGGCATCTTTGGTCTACGGCTGCTGAGTCTTGTACATTCACAACAGTTTGTGCCAGGGCTTGTGGCTGCTCGCCTTCAGTGCCTGCTCCAGCCTGCGGCTCCTCCAGCCTGGCATGGGGCCAGTCCTGTGGCGTGCCACCTAGAGAGGTGATGGGGGCTAGCGTGAGCATGGGGGGACCCCTCCATATCCTGACCCCTGCTTTAGCAGGGGTGTGAGGGTGGGGGGACCATCACCTCTCACCTGCAGCATCCGAGCACGGTCCGGGCTCGCTCTCCGGCTCCGGGAGGGAATCATGCTTGGTCCTTCGTCTGAGCACAGGCGACCGCCGCAGGCGCAGGGGGACAGTGCCGGCTGGAGGAAGCACAACAGTGGGTGCTGCCGAAGCCCATCCCAGTGCCAAGTGCCCCACCTCCCCGAGAACTTCCCAGTGCGCCCACGCCACCACTCATCACCCTGGCACCGCAAGTGGCTGCCCATCAGCCAAGAGGCAGCATCACCAGGCACACGGGATGCCCCCCTGCCTGCTCCTCCGGTGCGGGGTGCAAGGGGTGTCGGGGGTCCCACTCCAGCCCTCACTTACTTCCTAGCTCCAGTGGGCACTCAGGCTCCCTGAGCTGCTCCTCATGGATGGACACAGCTCGGCGGCCAGCCCCCCACGGTGCCACCAGCCGTGGCATCAGCCGGTTGTCTGGAAAAGCAGCAGGGAGGTGCTATCGGAGGGGAGAGGCCCTGTGGCACCCCAACCTCCTGGCAGCGCCCTGCTCCATACCCCCCCACCAGCGATGGGTGCTTGTGTCCCTGCTGCCCTCCCTTCCCAAGGGGCTCCAGGAGCAGGCCAGCAGTGGGATGGGGGGGTCCTACCTTCGGTGCTGGGTAGTGTAGGCAGGGTGGGCAGGGGGCTGCCAGCACCCACCTCCCCACCGTGGCTGACCCTCCGTGGCAGTGCCACCGGCGTGCTCCTCCCTGGCCGTGGCAGGCTGCTGCTCCAGCCCTCCCGGTCCCCTGGCTCTGGCAGCCCACTGGGCTCGGCCAGGACAAAGGAGTGCCGGGGCTGCTCAGAGCTGATGCCCTGCGGCTTGGCGGGCAGCTGCCTCCCCAGGGCTTTCCAGGCTGGCCGGGGCTCCGCCGGTCCAGCGCTGGGCTCCGTTGTGGCAGCGGGGCTGTGGAAGGGTGCATCTGTGGGGAAGGTAGGACAGAGCTGTGGGTGCCCGATGGTCACAGCCCCAGAAGGTGGCTCTTGGTGCTGGGAACCAGCCTGCAGCCACGCCAGGGACCAGGCAAGGGGCTGGGTTTCCATCTGCCAAGTTTGGGCACCCATGGGTGCAGGGCTCCAGTGCCCATATAGCGCTTCTCGGTGCTAACAGAGGGGACAGAGCTGGTGTGACTCCTCCTAGCACCCACCAGCAACCCACCTGTGGACACCGAGTGCGTGCGGGCCTTCAGGGAGGGAGGGGAGTCCGCAGAGCTGTCCACGATGTCCCCTGCAAGCACAAGCCACCAGCCAGCATCAGTGAGCTGGGGTCTGCCCCGTGTCACCAGCACCCAGCGAGGGGGGAAGATGGTGGGACCCACAGCTGGGAGCCTGCCTGTGCCCACCCCGTGGGTGCCCAGCTGGGTGGGGATCAGGGTGGGGAGGATGCAATCCCTCACCGTCTGAGCCAGCTTTCTTGATCTCACTGTCTTTGTTCTGCAAGGGGAAAGAGATCTGGTAAGGGGAAGGGGGGGGTCAGGGTGGCAGCATCTCTAGGAACAATGGGTGGCAGAGGGCAGGGTGCTGCCAGGCTCTGGGGTGGCTGCAGGGGATGGGTGCATGCCAGGGAAGAGGGACAGACAGACACCATGCAGCGCATAGGAGCCCACATATCTGCCCCCCCTTGCAGTGACAGGACAGAGGCCACGAGCAGTGGTGGCACAGAGCTGGGTGCTGCCGGTCCCGGACGAGGGACCCCCCATCCCATGGCTGCCACCTGGGTGCAGGATCTGTCCCAAACGTGGAGCCACTCCCCACCTGTTGCTTCTTGCTCTCGGCAGCTGGGCCCTTGGTGACGCCGATGCGGTGTAGCATGACCTGCACACGCTGCTCGAAGGAACCAGGCAGTTCCCCCTCACTCTTCTCCAGGTGCCTCTTCTGCAGGACAGACAGAGCCCTGCCAGGGGCATGGCACCCACAGGACCCACCTGCCTGCCTGTGGGGCACCCATGCCCCCAACCCCAGCCGTGCCCCTGGCAGACGGAGGCACAACCACAACCCAGCAGGGATGTCCCCAGCCATGTGTCCAGTGTCCTCAGGTCCCCCTGCACTGCCCAGGTGACCCCACCTCCAGCACCTTTGGGTGGGAGCAGCATCCACTGGGAGAGCTGAACAGCAGGGTCAGTGGCTTGGTGAGAGTGACAGTGCTTACCTTGTCATGCCTGACCCCCAGCGCATCCTCGTCCTCCCCAGACAGCAATATGAGCGACTGGGATTTGCCCTCCCGTGAGTACTTGGGCCGGATCCTGCGGGCAGAGTCGGGGGTCTGGCAGTGCTCGGACTCTGCCCGGGGCTCGGCAGTGAGTGCCCCCTCCTCTGATTTACTCAGCAGCTTGCCCGCCTCGCCCGCCTTGCTGGGGGCTCGTAAAATGTCACTGAGCATCGAGCGCCTGCTTCTGGGGGCAGTGGGGCCACCCTCGGGCTCCTTCTCACATCTCGAGCCCCGGCTGGATTTAGGTTTCTTGAAGGCAAAAAAATTCCCAATTTTCTTCTTGAGGGTACGGGAGCCAGAGTGGACCAGAGGGGCTGATCCTGGGCAGGTCTCCGGAGCCATGGGGCTGGGAAAAGATGAAGCATTGGGAAGGGTGAGCTCCAGGCTGCCAAAGGGATAGGGATCATTTTTCATTCCTGCCCACCCATGAAGGGATAGATCCAGACCCCAAACATCCCACCTAAGATGATGTTGTCCTGGCAAGGGCAGCTGTTCCCAGCAGGGGACCCCACTGCCCCTCTGCTGTGGGACAGACCCCACAGCCCCTCCCTGGGCTCGTTGGACTGGTGTGCTGGTTGCATCCTGTGCCTCGTGGCTGCCATCCCAGCCCTCTCCCACCAGCCTTGCCCTTGGCGATGCCCCTGGGTGAGATGTTCTCCCCAGCATCTCTTCAGCACCAGGACCAGAAGCATTTGCAGGGTAGTTTAAGGCAAAGGGCTTGCCCGAACCCCAAGGATGGGTGTGTGCCAGGGTGCTGGGTGGGTGCGGGGCCCTGGACACGCCCCTGGGCTTACGGCAGCTCCTCTGTGATGAGCCTCTTGGCAAAGAAGTCCTCCAGCCCCTCGTCCACGCGGGTGATGCTCCTGTCCTCGCTGTTCTCGCAGGCCACGGGCTGCACCTACGAGCAAGCACAGCCATCATCCTGGCGTGGAGCAAAGATACCCCCACACATACACACGTGCCACCCACAGCTGTGCAAGAACAAGTGGGTGCCCATGCATGATGGGTGCCGGCACCCTCTGTCTTGCTGTGCATCCGGCATGAAAGCCAGACCGTGGTGTTGTCAGCTGCATCCCAGCTCTAAATCCTGCCGCATCCCTGGGGCATCAGGAGCTCCAGCCAGCCCCGGGGCTCCTGCCAGCCCCTCACCCTGACTGTTGAGGCAGGGCAGCTTGGCTGCCAGCCCTTTGCACCCCACTGGGTGCCACATGTGGAGTGCCAGTGTCTCCCCAGCATGGTGGCTGGGGTACAACATTCCTACATGCTCAGGTACCTGTGTGTTACGCACAGGCAAGGCGCCTCTGACCCTCCTTGGTGACACACAATGGCAAATCCTGCTGAAGCCCTCCTAGAGCCTGGCCAGGTCTCTGACCCCACTGTCCCGTGGGAGAAGCCTTTGATGCTTCCTTGGCATGAGCCCCAGGGAAGGGACACGCATGCTCCTGGCCAGTGATGGAACAGGTGCCTTGCACACCCCTGCATCTACATCCTTCAGGCAGCTGCTCCTCCTTGAGTCCACCCTTGGAGTGCCACCACTGCCTGGATGGAGGTCACCTATGGCAGAGTGGTCTGTGCCACGACCAAGCCTTCCTCCACAGCCACCTTCCTCCCCAAGCATGTGGCACCACACTGGTGGCTTCCTATCGATGAGAGGCAGGCACTTCCCCATCGGTGGCATTTCGATCCATAATGACTTTTCATTACGGCTGGATTGATTCCACTCAGGAGCTGTTCCAGCCAGCTGAAATCTGCTCTCCCTGACACATTGCATCTGTCAAAGCCCATCCTTGCTCAAGACCTGGCCAACCCTGGGTGCCAACCTTGCCCGTCCTGCTGCAGAGACATGTGCCAAGGTGGTGGCCCCCGGGGCCCTGCCTGGCTCCTGCCAGCCTTCAGCATCCACTCTGCCTTCAGGAAACAGCTCCTGCCTCTCCTTCAGCCCCATGGCAGTGCTTGTCCCACCGCGGTCCAAGGGCAAGCATCACCGTGGCTGTGCAAGCTTTCCAGCGGGTGGAAGGATCCAGCTACATCATGGGGACGAGGGGATGCCGGTAGGGTCTGGCCCCGGGGATGACAATAAAGCTGGACTTTCCACACACTGCACCCAAAAGTTACTTTTCCGTTGGGAAGGGGGCTGAGAAGGCAGGATTTGCAGCTGCTCACCCTTTGGGGGGGGGGGGGGGGGGGGGACCTGAGTTCACCTGGGTGCCAGGGTCTAGTGCCAGCTCTGCTTCAGCCCAAGCCAAATATGCATCACAGCCAAAGCCCCAAAAAGCCGAAGTCACCCATCAGCTGCTCATTGCCTGTGGCCCTCATGGATCTTGCCCCCTCCAGGGACACAGGGCTCTGTGGGGCAACACCAGCAACAGAGCAGCCTGGGGCAGCTGAGCACCAGAAGCAACACGTGGGCAACATTCCCTCCCCTGTAGCAGGTCCCCAGGGGTGCTGGGTAGGTTGGTGATGCCCATGCCCAGGATGGTCCCTGGGATGGCAGGGAGAGATGCCTGTGGCACCTGGAATTATGGATAAACCTCCCACTCCTGCCTGGCTACCTGGGTGAGCAAGCTCAGGGCATTTACCCTGCTGCCTGCAGGGACTGAGCCAGCCAGCCCCCAAAAACAGCCCAAGAGCAAGCTCGACGTGAGCTTTGCCTGCAGACCCCTGCCACAGCACTGGGAGAGGGTCTCTGAAGGGTCCAGATCCCTGTCAGGCTTTGCCCGCAGCCTGGAGCATCATCACCGACGGTTCTGCCCTGTGGCCCCCCAAATCACTGCTACGAGCCCCCCACACTGGCCATGCCCCAGCAAAGGGGACAGGGCCTGTGCTGAGCTGCGGCCAAGGGAAAGTCGCGCGGTGGCCTTACTTCTCACAGTTAGCGTGGGCCGAATGCTCCTGAAATGCTTGTTTTTCCTCCGCAGGGCCATCTTGTACTGCAGGGAGACAGGGACAGTGGTGGCTTCGGGGTTGACAAGCTGGCCGTGGTGAGCAGCATCCCGCAGCGGCCGGAGCCAGCCAGGCTTCGCCCAGGGATGGGTGCAATCCCTCCATCACCCCCAGGGCTGCACCCCCTCATCTTGCTCCGGCACTGAAACCACTCGCAATGCCAGATTTGATGCTTTCCTCTCTGGGGCGCCAACGCCACACTGGATCCCAGGTCTGAAACAGTGGCCAGCTGGAGGGGCTGCACGTGGCCAGGACCAGCCCGGCCACCACAAGGACACGCTCCCGGTGCCAGCAGGGCAGGCAGCGTGGCCAGGCAGGTTAATGGTCCCATATCCCATCACTTAATTGTCTTAGCACTGCCCTGGGGAGGGGCCAGGGGTGCGTGCATCCAGAGAGGCTGTGGCATTAAGCCCGACATCATCCGGTAAGGCGGATAAAAGGTGGTTATAGGGCAGGCATCATGCAGCAGCAGAGGGGTTGGACCCTACCTCCTCTGCAGAGAGGTCTGGAGGATTCCTTCCCCTTGCCAGAGCAGCTGCATCTTCTTCATTTGGCTCCGGCAGCAGTACTGGGAGGTCGAGCCCCTGCTTGGAGAGGCTGTCTGCCTAAAACCGTTAGTGCTTGAATTATCCCAGGGGCTGAAGTGCACCCATCCACCCAGCGCACTCCGCGATGCTCCACTCCCTACCCACGGCTGGGATTTGCGAGCGGATTTAGGCCTGATTAGCCGGCTGCTGGCCCCAGCGCAGCTAACCCGTGCTTGCCCTGGTGCACGGGCGGATGGTGCCTGGCTTCACCCCAGCACCCCCCACCATGCAGTGGCTCCCAGACTTCACTCAGGACATTAATGCTGCTGTGACCACACTGGGAGAGGATTACCTGTGAGGAAAACCAGCCTGGGTGGGAATTGTCCCGCTTCCCAGACAATAAATCCATGGTCATAACATTGGCTGGTGCCTAGGCAATGCCACATTAGCCAGACCTGCATCCCACATTGCAGCCCCACATCCTCAGCCCACCAGTGCTGGCAGCCCCCAGTGCTCACCAGTTTGCACTTGGCAATGGTCAGGTCTCCCAGCACGGCATCCACGATGCAGTCAGCCACAGCGGCTGTGACAGACAGCTTGATTTCACTGGGAATGGAGAGAGGGGTGTCAGGACCAGCACCCCCAGTCCCTGCAAGCTGCAGAGCCAGCCGCCCCAAGGAGAGCTTTGCTGGGGAGATGGCTGCTTGGCCGTGGCACCCAAAGGATCACCCTGGACATGCCTCAGGCTCCAGTTCTGGGCGCATGCTGCTGGAACAGGAAGGGGAGCAGGCGCTGGCTGGGATGGAGGACGACAAGTGCATCCCACCATTACTGGTTGGGGCTCCCCTCTGCCAGCCATGGGGACACGCCTGCAGGAACATCTCCCCATGGGACTTCCCAGCTCCCTAGTGACACATCTGAACCAGATCCAAGCAGGAAGCAAAGTCACAGATGGGAAAACGCAGCAGCAGGACCCAGCACACCACCACCATGTGAGGAGAGGAGCAGTTGGTAGGGAGCCCCCAAAATCCCCATCTGGCCCCGTGGGTGAGCACCAGCTGCTAAGTAAGAAGGAAGAACAGCACGTCACCCACTTCAGCTTGCTGAAGACATCAGTGACCATCTGGTCCAGAACCGTGCTGAGGTTGAGGTGGTCCTGGAGGTAGATCTGCTCCGACATGGCATTGACTAGCTGGTCCCTGACCCTGGTCTTCTGCACCATGACTGGGCAAAGGCTGTGCGCTGTGTCCAGTGCTGCCTGCATGATCGCCTGAAGTTTGGGGAGGAAAGGGGAGTTTTCACTGTCTCTTCTACCAGAATTCACATGGTTTCCAGGAGACACTGTGTCCTTTATCCTCAGGCTGAGGCCGACGAGCATCCTGTGCTGCCAGCAGCTCCCCACCCACCCTGGCAGCTCCCCATGGGTGCCCACCTGGATTTCCCGGCCACAGATCTGTGACGCTTCCTCTGTGAGACACTCCAGCTTGTGCTGCAGCTTGCCGTTCTGGTACGGGGTGTTTCCTGCTTCATACAAGAGGGGTAGGATCTGCCATGGGAAGAGAAACAGCATGGATCATCCTATGGCACCTCATCCTTGCTTTCCATCCTTCCACACGCAGCCTGAATCTGTGGCTGCATCAGCTGGGGAGACCCATCGACCTTCTAGGTTGGGCATCCTGGCCCCTCTCAGTCCCTGTGCAGATGCCCCACTGCTTCTCACCACCCACTGACACTTCTTCTACCCCTGCACCCAGCCACACTACTGCCCAGATCAGGGGAGACCCTTTCATATCCCTTTCATCACCTTTCCACCATCGTCTTAAATCCTACTTTTGCCGAATTAAGTAACCAGAGGGGTGCCAATACATTTATGAAAAAGGAGGAAGTATAGAAGGAGAAGGAGAAGGTGCAATGGGAAGAGAGAAGCAGGATCAGGAGGGTCAAACCAGAGCTGACAGTGCCAGGAGCTACCCAACCAATGCAGCGGCCTTTGTCACGGGCTGATAGAGCATCCTCAGCACTGGGCTGTGTCCAGCTGGGGTGGGATGAGGGTGCCCCAAGGAGGGACACCTCAGGGATGTGGGGAGTGTTCTTCACCAGTGTGGGCATCTGTGGGCTGCAGGGTGTGCCCAAAGCTGGGGCACTCACCTCTCCCAAGGAGGGGTGCATGAGCAAAAGGGTTGTGCTGAATAGGGGGTGTACTTGTAGCCCCCACTTCCCAGGGGTTGTGCACACATCTGTGTGCCCCTGGAGGGAAGGGATTAAGAACATTTTGGGCCTTGTTCTAGAAGGGGATTCAGAAATTCACAGATGTTCTTTAACATTTTGTAAGTGCTTGGTGATGTGCATCTGTTGCACCGACAATTCTGGTGTTCCCTGACTGCTGGTTAATTATGTCATTAACTACTCAGTAACCCGCTTCAATCCCAGATTGAGGCCAGGCAAGTTGCGGGTTTCCCCACACGGAGGACTCACGCTGACGGAGAGGTTGGCGTTCCTGATGGCCTCCTCTGCGCAGAGGATGTCCGCCTCTGCCTCCCTGCTCGGGCAGGCGCTGAGGATGTCGAGATGCTTCTGCACACTCAGGCAGATCTCATTCACCATCTGGAGCACAGAGAAGCTGCGTCACATGCTGACGCTGGAGCAGCACTGCCAGTTCCCCTCCTTGCCGTGATTTTCCCAGAGAAGGATGTGCTGGCGCTGCCTGATGGGGCGGCAGCGGCACAGGCAGGTTACAGCTCCCCCAGCGTCCCTGCCTAATAACCGGGGATGCAGGGATTTGCTTGCAAACGTGCACAGGAAGCCAGGAACACGCAGTGATATATCCCAGCATTGCATATGCATGAAATGCATGGATGCAACCAGGAGGGATCCTTGGAGATATCCTTTCTGCCTGGCCCCGCTCTCATCCCTCCAGACTGCTCTGCCCTCCTCCATTCAGGAAAGGCGAAAAAGGGTTTGTGTTGCTTGCAAGAGCTCACATGAGCTAACTGGGGTTGTCTGGGGCAGGGGAGGGCAATTCGGCCGGCAAACCTGTTCGGAAGAGGTGGTGAGGATGCCCTGCTGCAGGCGGAAGGTCTGTGCAGGCAGCGTGTGCCGCAGCTGGTTCCTCATCAGGCAGGACTGAAGCTGCAGCAGGCAAGAGGCTGTGAGCAGCTGGTATCGGTGGCACCCGGCCCCATGGCCCCCCACAGCCCGTGTGCCCCCACCTTGTGCACTGCCTCCTCCGTTTTCTCAGGGTTGCTGCGGTACGCCTGCACCACGTCGCTCATTGGCAAGGGCATCGACTTGAGGGTGTAATTCCTGCAAGGCAGCATGGGGGTGAGGGGGTGCATTTACCCACAGACACAACATTGGTCTAGAGCCCACCCGTCAGCAGCCCAGGCATTGCCCCAAGGTCCAGCCCCGGAGAGGGGGACGGCCAAATTCTGGCCATCACCAACCCTGATGGGGTGTCAGCAACCACGCACCCAGGCTCTCCATCCCTGCCTCTTTCCTCAGACCTTCAGAGAACCTGCACGGCCAAACACTAAACCTGGCAGTGTCCTCAGCAGATGGACAACTTCTACCCATCACATGGGCAGGGAGGAGAGGAGCAGCACATCTCCACCAACAGCAGATCCCCCTGTGCTCACGGGGGACTGCCTTGGGTGACATAGAGCTGTGCTGGGTTGGGATGCAGAGCCCAGGGGAGACCCTGAGGTTGGTAACAAAGGTGCCATCACCAAACGTGTGGCAGGTTGCTTTGCTGGCTGCAAGATCTGAGCTGTAGACCAACTTGCCTGGGACCTGTATGCAACTGAGAGATGAATTTGCTGTTTCAAGGGGACAAGAGGCCCTGGGGACACTGACATCATGGTGCCAGAGGCTCTTTTGCATGGTGGTAGCAAGCCAGGAGGACCAAGCAGCTCCTTCCTTACCTCTCCAAAGCCTGAGCAACCTCTAGGAGCCCATGAGCAGTTGTGTTGTTCCTGTCCCAAACCACAGTCCTGCAAAGAGAAGGACACAAGTGAGCCCTGCCCACACCAATGGAGCCCCAGGGTGGGTGACCATCCACTTGGTGCCAAGAAGAGTGAGTCCAAGGCTGACCTCAGGCATCAGAAAGCCTAGAAATTACATTAAAAATCTGAATCTCAATATTCAAAACCTAAACTTGGCCTTTGCAAGGAACTGTAAAGTACGTGGGTGCCTGGAAGGAGTGAAGGGCAGGGAGGACACAGTCAGGCACCATCCTGCTGGTAGGGGCAGATGTCCCACAGAGGAACAGCCCTGGCTGGGAGACCCCCACAGACATCCCTGCCTCCCCTTTGTGGGCAAAATGTGGTCAAAAAATGGCATTTTAGGAACTGATGCCAGAGTGTGGGGTGAGGGCAGTAACTGCAAGGGTCCAGCTGCAGCATCCTGGGCTGTGCAGGAGCCTGGCAGAGCCAGCAAATGCCAAGGCAGGGACGGAGCTTCTCTCTTGCCCTTCACATATCCTCTACCAGCACTGCCAGATGACTGCTATGACAGAAAGATACGGTCACAGCATCTGACTGACCACCAGGGACACATCCATGGTCACCAGGAGCCATGATGACCCTCCACAAATGGCATCAGCATCACAGCTAGGACCACCGTATGAGGGCCACACTACACAAGGTGGGAAGGGCACCCTCAGGTGACGTGGACTTGCTGCTACCTGAGTTTTGTGTTGATCTGGAGGGCCTTGGCTAGCATCTTGGCCCCTGTGTCCCCCATGGCATTGCCGCTGATGTCCAAAGCGATGAGACTGGTGTTACTGCCCAGGGCACTCAGCAGGACATTGGTTCCCAGCTTGAGACGTGATTCAGCCACAGACAGGGACTGGAGAGGCTAGAAAGGGGACAAGTAAGGGAGACATGGCCAGGATGCATATCAGGACGTGTGTCACCTTTGCAGACATGGCCTCCATCCCTGTCCGGCAGCTGCTGCAGGCAGCTGGTACTGGTTTTGGAGAGGCAAAGTCATGCTGAACCCGAAGAACCAGGAGGGCAATGGGTGCTTAGGCAACACCCTGGATTTAGATCAGATGTCTGACAGGCAGAGAGGAGGAAGAGGTTTTCTGGAAAGCTGGGCTGCAGCCAGGTTACACCAAGCATCTCCTTCATGCCTTTACCCAGTCACAGGCTCCCACTTTCCCAGATGTATGGGAACCGAGCATCTGCTTCAGACAGAGGAAAGTCAGAGCAGAAGGATTTGAATGGCGCTGGGGAGGGAGGGAGGAAGGGATCTGGATGGCACCCCAGCATGGAAGCTGCACGGCAGTGGAGGAGGGCAAGCATGGTTGGGATGGTTGAGGGTAAACCAGACTTACGCAGTCGTCCTCCTGGGTGAGCTGGACAATGCGGTGCAGGACATCCAACAGCCCCTCCCTGTGGGAGAGGCAGGGGGTTTACACACACACACACACACACACACACACACACACACACACACACACACACGTATTCCACCCGCATGCCCCCGGGGCAGCTGGCAGAGCTCAGTCCTCCCTCCCATTCTTGCCTGAGGCTGTGACCTGTCCCTGCAGCGCCTGCAGTCCCTTGGGACTTCGCCAGGAGCAGGCGATGGTCCCCCCATGGCCCCAGGCTCCCCGTTGGGTTGGAGCAGGCAGGACAGGCAGGCAATCCCTGGCATTCCTGACCAGCCCACGGGCTTTCAGTGGGGAGAGAGAGCCAAGGTGGGTACATGATGCCAGGGTGGCTCCTGGCCTGGATGCTGCGGCTTTGCACTTACTTGGATTTGATGTTGAAGTTCTTCCCCAGAGAGACATGCCTAATGGACTTGCTTCTGCCGATGGAGAGCACTAGGGTCACCATGTCGGGGTCGAAGCCTGCGAGAGATGGGAGACACCCACTGGAATGCTCCAAGCAGTCCACAGAGGTGGCACCAAGATAGTCCCTCACAGGAGACCTGAAGACCCACCAAGCTGCCACCATAGGTTGGTGGAGATGCCCAGGGCAACTCCTGAGCATCTTCCTTCTCTTCATGGTTCCCTCAAGGAGACTTGAAGACCTGTGCAGAGCCAGGAGTGACCCCAGGGAAGGAGCACCCGCTCTGGGGCCCCTGCTCTTTGGGGTGCCAAGGCTGTGCTGAGCCATGGGGAGCACTTACTGACCTATAGACAGCTCATGCTTTCTGCCATCCCACAGGGATGTGCCCTCCATCAACCACCCCCCCACCCCCCCGGGACAACATGGGAGGTGTTCTCACAGCTTGCAGGCAGCTGCCTGCACTCCCACCCTCTTGGCTGCAGCATCCTCAGGGGAACTCAGCAAGCTAAGGTGACGTCCTTCCCACAGAGCAGGGACATGGACAGAGATCTGCTCTCCCACCCAAGGGCAAGAGGCACCAAGACTCATCAACAGGACTGGCCCTCCTGCACAGAGCTGCTCTACTGGGAAAGTCAAAACCATAAGCATATTTTGGCAAAGGTTTTGGGTGAGTGAATGAGCTCTTGGAGCATTGGTGGCCTCAACAGGTTTCTGAAGGACTCCAAGCCACATCAGCTTTACCAGAGCCATCTGGCTGTCAAGGAGCTGCATGGTCTGCTGTGAGATCTTAGCAAGGCTGCTTTAAGGTTTGGGGTCTTTTAGGTGAAATTAAGAGCTGGCAATGGTGATGTCTGTGATAATTAGGGTTGCTCGCCCATGGCTTGGGAGGTAGGACAAGTTTAGCAGCAGAGGTTGCAAACTACTGCAGATAAGTGGGAAGAATCTCAGCTCAGGAAGAACTTTTCAATGCTTTAAACCCTGAGATAGCAATGCAAGACCCCCTTGGATTCAGTGAGCCGAAGAGGCTTGTACCAAGGAACAATCATTTCTGTCAAGTCTTGAGGCAGGAGGGGATGAAGAAGTCTCCCCGTGGCCCATACTGGAGATGTTTTCTCTGAGTGAGGGGAGAGGCAAGGGCTACCACTGCTGCTTACCATGGGATGCAACACTGGAAGGTGATGGAAGAGGCCTGGCATGCTGGGAAGGACACCAGCAGAGGGACAAGAGCACCTGTAAGGACTGACCGTCTTGGGGGAGGCAGGGGGTGGTCGGTTTTGGTCTGAAAAAGCTGTAAGAGCCTGATGAGGTAGTAATCTCTCAGGCAGGAATCCACAGCTGGCTGTTGTGTGCCTTCATCCCCATGAGACACAGCCTGTAGTGTTGCAGCTTCTGCTGCTGAAGGACTTTTACAGGTGACAATTGCAGTTTAACGTTGCACTAGCCAGTGCTGTCGAGAGGTGGGCAAGCACAGCAGACCCAACCCATGTTCCTGGGGATGCCTACAAGCTCACGAGGTACCGGAGCTCAGTTGGCCTCTGCCAAACAGCCTGGCTGGACCCGTGGATGGAAAAGATCTTCTCCCAGGTAGGGAAAAAACAACCTACCATTGTCAGACAAGTCCAGGTTGCTGATGGAGCTGGCGTCGGGGATGAGATCCTGGATGACCTGGGCTCCCGCTGATCTCAGCTTGGAAGAAACAGCAAGACATCAGTACAAGGGGAGGCGTCGAGCCCTGCAAACGAGAGCCTGCCGTCGGGAAGGTCACCCCAGCCCCATGGCGGGCAGGGCACAGACCTTCCCACACAGGGAGCAAGCCCCCTTGACTGCCGCAATAAGACCCCCGTCTGGACTGACAGCACCCATGGGTGCTGGCCTCTCACCTCGCAGTTACTAAGATCCAGGCGCAGGTCACTGATGTGACGGTTGTCTGCCAGCCCTTGCAGCAATGCTCTGGAAAAGTCACCAAAGCCACCCATCAGTGCAAGCAACAGGGACACCAGCACTCGCCGTGGAGCACCCCCAATGGTCCGGGCAGTGGGAGTGGGGTGCTGGGGAAGACATCCTCCCCCCCAGCCCTCTCAACATTCAAAGCCCTGAGAGAGGTCACCCCTGGGCCATGCTCACCCCAAATCCATTCCTCTCGGTGGACTCACAGCCCCACCTCACCTTACAGCATCTGCTGGCAGCTTGGTACCCGCCAGGGAGACATGCCTGAGGGCACAGGCCTGGCTGAAAAACTCCTTGATGTCAGGGGAGATGGTTTTCACCCTTCTGAAAGGGATGGACACAAAGTGGCATCATCTGCCACCCAGCACCGGCCACCCACCTGGGTACTGCACTCCCCTCCCCGCCATCCCGGGGGCTCACCTGTGGGAGTACAAGTTTCTGGAGAGATCCAGGTGGACAAGACTGGTGTGGCATCCGTGGACCAGGGCTCCAAAAAGCTGCCGGGGTGAGGAGGCAAGCTGTGTCGAGGAGGACCCAGCCAGTGCTGCAGCCCCTCGCACAGCCTGGGGATGGATGGGTGATGGTATGGGATGAGTTATGAGGGGTGGTCAGCAGCTCTGTCCTGTGTTGGGCTCCCTTATTCCTTCTGCTGAACCCCGAGTCCCCCAGCCTGCCCATGGCAGTGGGCACAGAGCGGGGCATCGCTGGGCTGGCTGCTCGCTGCCCCACACAAGCCCTGTCTCTGCAGCCCCATGCCAGGATGGCAGCACCCCCAAGCAGTGCGGTGTGGTTTCGGGAGGGGGGATGAGGGTGGGGCCTCGCTTCTGGGACCCCCTGCATAGGTACTCACAGCATCCAAACAGCAGTCTGTGCCAGCCAGGCTGAGGTAGGCGAGCGAGTGGCACTGGTGGAGGAGGCTCTGCAGGTTCTGTGGGCAGAGAGGGCTCAGTGGCTTTGCCCAGGACCCTGACTCTGCCACCCAGCACCCTCCAGTCCAGAAATCCCAGCTCCAGCCTGCCTCTCCCAGCCTGTCCCCCTGGACAGAGGGACCCAACCACATGCTGCTCACTCCTGGCATACATCCTTGCTCCAGGTGGCATCTCCCACCCTCCCACAAGGATATGCATCCCCAGTGCACCCCCCAGCTGCTCCCAGGTAGGCAGGGAGGTGTCTCAGCCATGATTTCCCCATCCCTGAGGTGCAAGGCAGGACACAGACCTCAGGAGACCAAAGCCATCCAAACCATGCTGGGGACAGAGCCACTGGGGTGTCACCCCATCGCAGCCTGGGCACTCACATTGATGTCGTCCCCCACCAGGGTGCCAGGGTTTCCAGAGAGGTCCAAGTGCCGGAGGGAAGATCTGATGGCTTTGTTATCTGTGAGGGCCTTGCATAATGTGCTCATCCCTGCTTGAGGAGAGGAGGAGAGATGGATGCCCATGGTTCCCCTGCACCAGGGAGAGCCGTGGAGCAGAGGAAGAGACACTTTCCTACAGCTGGGGCAACAGGACATTGCATCCTTGGAGATGCCCTTTCCAGGGTATCCCTGCAGCCCCTCCAGCCACCCCTTTGGTGCCAGCTTGGACCCGAGCACTGCTGTGCCCAGCCTTCCAATGGCACCCAGGCAATGCACAGGATACTGGGCTGTACCTTTGGCAGTGATCATCGTCCTGGCCAAGCTGAGACTCTGCAGACCCTTGGGACTCTTCTGCATGTACCGGCTGAAGGCAACAATCCCTGATGAAAGAGCAGAGAGCCCTGAGGGGCTGTAGGTATCCATCCCACCCCGAGCTACAGCCCCCAAGGCAGGGGGCAGCTGCTGGTGGAATCCAGATTTGAACATCAGTTTTCATGGGTGTAAACTCATCCCGGCCCAGAAGTTGGGTACCTCTGTCTTCCAGGTGGTTGCCATCAAGGTTGATGGTGTGCAGGACAGAGTTGGGATGGTTGCTGAGTGCCTGGGCCATTCTCTGGGCAAAGTCACTGTGAGGAAAAGGGTCACCCATCTGAGCAAGGTACAGTCACCTCCAGAAGAAAAGGCCACCAACCCTGTAGCCTTGTGAGGACGTGTCACCAGCTCCTGCCCATGTGGCAGAGCATCTCCAAGGGCTGGTGATATTTGCTGGCCTCCAGTCTACAGGGGCTCTCTGCTCCCAGTGAGCTTCACGCTGGGGAGGGGATGGGGCACCAACACGACCTCTCATACATGGGTCCATGGACCTCCCTGCTCCATGCACATGAGGGGAGCACCACTGGGCTGCTCATCACAGCACCTGGGCCTGGCAACATCTTTGCTTACGCTTTCAACCCGCTATTTTCCAGCACCAGCTCCTCCAGTGTCACTGATTTGCTGAGCATGTAAAGCAGCTGCTCCGAAATCTCCTGGTTCTGGCAGGGGAGAAGAAAGCCTTTCTGGAAACCTGGCCACCTCTGGCACGCCCAGTGCTACAGCACCAATACTCACCAGCCTGAAGTCCTTGCAGGAGAGCTTGGTGAACCACAGGTTGAAGGACAAGGCAGCAACACTCAGTGCCACGTCTCTGCAGGGTGACAAGGATGAGGGAATCAGGGGCCAGGCTGAGCCAAGACTGGTCCCAAATGGATGCCCCAACACACCCAATCCCGGGATGCCCCAAGACACCCAACCCCAGGATGCCCCAACACAGTGTTCCCCAGAGCAGAACAGGGGTCCATGGGTTTATAGCAACCCACAAACACAGCTCAGCTTCCCCAGATTATCCTCTCAGAGAAAAAAAGATTAATCAAAACATTTGCATGCTTCTGTCAAAATGTCTGCTATTTTCAATTCTGAACTCTCCTGTAAAGAACAACACGGGTTTTGCTCAAGTGGAAACAAGTCTCTTTTTGACTTCCTGGTCAATCAAATCTCTAAAACTGTCTCCCTTTTGGCCGACTGAACACAGATCCTCTCTGTTCCCCAAAATGCTCCGCCCAGAACTTTGGCTCACTACACCCCAGTCCCACAGCTGCCTTCCCCCAGAGCTGAGCCCTTGCTTTGTCTCTCAGGATGAATACATGGCTGAGCCCCATGAGGACAATTCTGGGTGCAGAGCCCTGCTAGAAGGTTATGAGAGATATTTGGGGTGCTGGTAGGGAGGAGTGACAAGTTTTGGGGAAGCAAGCAGCACCAGCTGCTTTGCATAGTGAAACACTTGACAGCCATGAGCTGTGAGAAGCCTCTGTGACGTTTGGTTTTCACCTCTGTAAGCAGCTCGCAGACTTATTTAAGTATAGAGAATGAGCAGTGGAGCCTGCCCAGCCTCTCAGGGCTGTCGCCCCATGGGATGGGGTTCATCATGTTTGGTGCAGGGGAGCACTGGGCTGCAGATGTGGCGTCCTTGGAGCGTGTAAAGTGATAAAAGCTTCTAACACGAGCGGAGGAGTGTGCTGGGCCACCCCTGCCATGGATGGGGAGGATGAGGACAAGTGCTGGCATGGCATGGGGCACTGCAAGTGGCATGGCTGGGGGACTCACCGGCTCTCCAGGTGGCTGAAGTCCAGCAGGTTGAATTCCCGGCAGTCCTGGCTGTGGTAGATGTTGTCCACGTCCTGCCCAGGTAGATGGACACACAGATCAGGCTCAGCACCTGGTCTTGGAGAGGTCTCCAAGTCTGTCCAGTGCTGATGGAGGGAGCTGAGACCTTTTGGACCCTCCCCTGGCAAGGCCTTTGCCTAAACCCCAAGCCTAAAACCTCCCCTAGTGCTGTGGCGGGCAGGACACAAGTGCAAGAGTGGTGGGATAGCCCAGATTGATGGCTCTTGGACCACTTCTGCAGGGACTGGCCAGAAGGCAACACACCCCAAGTCTGGTGAGAACAAGGGTGTGGGGAGAGGTGGGCCGGAGTCACTGTCCCAGAGGAAGAGGGGGACAACCAGTCCTACTTTGGCTGAGTCTCAGCAGGGTTCCCCTCTACTAGGGACACTCAGCAAGGTTCCAGATTTCCAGGGACCTTACGTGACAGTCTGGAAAACAACCTGCTCCAAGACATTCCCACCTGCATTTTGAGTCTATGCCACAAGGAGCAGTGGGCACTCAAACCAGGCAAAACTGCAGTTCACAGCTCTGGGATGTCCCTGGGATACTCCCAGCCCCAGCAGCCCTGTGAACACCCTGCTTCCCCGCCTGCTGAGTGGCATGCTGTCACTGTCTCTTCTCCATGGGACAGACCAGCTTACCCACTGGATCTCCTCGCGGAAGGCAAAGCCGTTGTAATCACATAAAGCAGCGTAGGTCTCTGAAAACCCCCCTGCAAAGAGAAAGCAGACTTGGTGGCAGACCTGCCCACAGGAACATGGAGGAGACCTTTGAGGAGGGCAGGAGTAGGAGAGGGATGGTAGGGGCTCAAAAGTGTTGGTGAGGGCTCTCCCTTCCCTCCTCAAAGGGGCCAGAGTGTCCTGTGTCAGCCCAGAAATGATCACATAACTCTGGGGTCTGCAGCTCACTTTGCTTGATCCATGTAGCTCTCGGGCATGGTTCATTGCTGTGATGACAACAGAGGTCTCCTACCCCAAACCAGGCTACAGGAAAAGCCCCTGGCTCTGCAGCGATGCCATGAGGTGGGTGGAAGCATCCACAGCTGCCCATCCTCATGGGTGGACACTGAGCATTCCTTGCCCCACAGCTGTCCTGCTCCTTTCTGGGGAACTATGTTCCCTCAAACCAGCTCCCCAGGGTGCTCCAACCCTCCTGATCCTGCCAGGGGGAGGTGTGTGGAAACAAGAGCTTACCGCAGGGCCCGGGGCTACTCTGCAGCATCTCCTCCAGAGAGTTGGTGATCCGCTGGATCCTCTCATACAGGTTGGGGGGGGAGTTCTTAAGCAGCGTCCTGGGGAAAGACCAGGAGGGTGTATGGTGGTGGGCTGGGAGAAGAGCATCCCCACCACTTTATGCTTAGCTACAACCATTGTGTATAGGGTGGCCAGAAATAAGCTTCCCAATGTGATTGGGGAGCGGTCTGGCCTCCATCAGTGTTTTTTCTCTTGTTAAAAGGTGCTATTGTGAACCCATCGTGTATTTGGGGCTTTTTCGAGCAAAGAGCTTGCTCTGGTACCTACACAACCACCCCTGAGGAGCAGAAGAACCTTACCCAGGGGATGAGTCTGGAAAGACCTTCTTAAGTGACATGGTGACATGGATGATAACTTGCTCCAAATCATCAAAGGACATGAACCGGAAGGCATAAGATGTTGCATCTGTTTCTATGACAACCTGCGGGGTCCAAAGGATGGGAAATGCCTGAGTGAGCTGGCAGCACACGGCATCCCCAAGCCCCCAGACACAATGGTGACAGCCATCAGCTCCTCGCTGCAAACACCCAGCCGCTGCTTATAAACCCAGCCAGAGCGCTGTGAGCACAGGGAGGGCTGCAGCACCAGGAATTTAGGAGAAAATACACTAAAAAGATTGTAATGTGCCAGAATAAGGTGTAAACCTCCCCAAAATCCAAGCTAAGCTAATACAGAAGCAGCCCCAAAGTGGGGGGTGAGAATACCCTTGACTCTGCCTGCAGCAGCCACAGCTGGAGGATGGAGGTTTCCTCCCTGAATTTAACTAATCGCGTTTTGAGGCTTTTTTAGCTTTCAGTTCCTACCAGAAAAAAATCCCATGGCAACACGCTCCCTGATTTAATTACACGCTGATTGAGGCGTGGCAGAGAGATGACAATTATCTGCTGGCATCGTATGAGGACGGTGCTTCTGCCAGTGCCCGGGGCTGCGGGGGGCTGCGGGAGGCAGCGGAGCCCAACCCTGCCTGTGCTCTGCCAGCAGATTAATAACCCCTGGGCTTTCCACATCCCAGTCAGATGTCTCTCCCCTCTCAACCGTGGGATTTCAAGCCCCAGCACCCCTTGCTGTCTGCCCAGCTCTCTATTTCTTTCCTGGAGCTCAGCCACGCAACCTGCCAAGCAACAGAAACCCTGTTTAGAGGCTGGGGCCATCATCCCTGATGATGCTTTAATGAGCAAAAGACTGTCAAGAGGTTAACAAGGACCACAGCCCTGTTTCGGATGACACATCCAAGCCAGGGCATCCCATTCCTTTCCTCCACATTTCCCACCCACTGCATCTGCCCTACGCACACGCCACCCTCTAAGAGGATTAATGGGGTTTAAAACACCCTCCTGCTAAATTTGGCTTTGTCTCCATAAGCCAGCAGCCGTTTGTCACCTTGTCCCTGCCTCGCGGGAGGTGCCATGGCCAGGCACTGTCTGCAGCTGCCAGAGGGGAAGGGGCGCAGGCACCCACACTTGTCCTCAGCACCCCTGGGTGACTCCCTGCACCTCCAGCCCCGAGGGTGATGCCCTGGGCGAGGCCATAAGAGGATTTCTTTAGAGGTGACAAAGGGATAAATACCCTGGAGTGCTCTCACAGGTGACCCTCAGGGTGCAACAGGGGGCCAGGGCCAGGGTCTGCTACAGAGAGAGATGGGCACAAGGTGGGGTGGGTGCCTGGGCTGGGTTTGCCCCAGGTTTTGGTGCCACTCACCAGGCTGGGCTCTCGCACTGTCATTTCCCTCACCTCCAGGAAGCTGAAGCTGCTGTGAACCTGTGGGTGAGACGAGCAGGATCAGCTCCAGCGCTGATGTAGAAGGGGGACCCAAGGGTGCCCCCCAGCTCCCACCCTTCCGCATGCCCCAGGCAGTGCCTGGCTATGTCCCCCAGCTTCCTGATCCAACCCCCCTCCCCTTCACCCCATCCTCCATCCTGCTCCTGAGGACTTCCCAGACCCGGTGGCCCAGGTCACTCCATGGGGCACCCACACCAATGCCCCAAGAAGCTGAGCAGTACTCGCCCAGGAGCCACAGGGCTTTTACCACGGTGCAGGGTCCCCAGCACCTACCCTCACTGGCAGTATCACTGGCAGCACGTAGGCTCGCCAGGGTGTCAGCACCTAGACAGAGGGACATTGGTGTCACAAGGGACTGCGGTGACATGGGAGCCACCCTTGTCTCCTGCTATGGCCATGAAATGGCTGCCTGGGGAAACTGGGAAAGCGGGAACCAGGCTGGATTCTGCACATACCAAGATATAGTCGTCATACTTTGACTTCACCTGCAGCTGGATGCTCATCACCAGGAGAACCTTCTTCGTCCCCAGGAAGGAGGTGATGCCCTCTGAAAAGACCAATGTCCACATGAAGTGAGATGGCTGAAGCCACCACTGGTTCTCTCCCACATTCCCTGCTGCCCTTGGGGACACCATCCCCTGTGTCCCAACCTGAATCAAATCCTCTCCATCCACAGGTACTTCTTGACCAGCTTTGGGTCTTGTTTGATGCTCAGATGATAAACCCACCTCCCCATCACCTTCTGCAGCCCAGGCTGCAGCCTTGGCCAAGCATAGGGAGGGCTTTGGGGTTGATGGTTTATGCTGCACATGCTGCTCTGCTCACAGGGAGCTGGCGTTGAGCCACAAGAAGGTCCTGGCTTCTCTTCCTTTTTTCCTTCCCAAGTTTACCACTGGGGAGCAACGCAGTGCCCAAGTCCTGCCTCCTCATGACGAAGCCAGGGATGTATTCTGCTTTTGCATTTTTGGGGGGAACTCTCCCAGCCGTGACATGCACGGGTGGTCGTGTGTGCCAACCTCCCTGTTCTTCCAAAGCAGTTGCTCTCACAGCCATTGGGGACCAGTGCGAGCATCGCTCCTGCCTGCTGCGTCCTGCCTTGCACATCACCTCCCTGCTCTGCCTCCCCATCTCCCCTGTTTCACACTGAAATGGGACCAGAAGTACAACTGCCAATCGCCATGCAAAGCAAACCAGGTTTTCACAATGACACCGAGCCACACATCCCCAGGGACCCACCCTGATAGAGCTGAGAGCTGGGGCTGGGAGGATGCAGCGACCTGGCTCCTTCCCACCCCACTGCAAGCCTTGGTGGGCTAATGAGGCTGCAGGGCCCCGAGACCATCATAGCCTTTTGCTTTTTTCAGTCAAATAAGGGAAGGCTAGGAGCAGTGGTACTTCACATATCCCCTGCTGCTGGGGAGCTGGGCCAGGGTTGCAGGCAGGGCCATGCCTTCACACTTTGGGGCCCCCGAGCTGGCTGAGGGACCCCAAGCCCATAGGAGTGAGCTGAACCCACAAACCAGGCAGCAGGAGCCACAGAGAACCACATCCTTGAGGACTTAGCCTGTTTTCTGGGGATGTTTTTGGCCCAAGCAGCATCCTCACGCTTTGGGGGCAAGAGCAGCCCTCGCACCCCTCACACTTCAGACCTTGCTCAGACCCCCCTGAGCCATAGCTGCTGCCAACAAGGAACCCAAAAGGGGCTCTGCCAACCCTGGCATGGCAAACCGGGCCCGAGCAGGCCCTGCACTGGCACCTTCCATGTGGCACCAGTGCCCCTGCAGTGGGTGATGCTTACCTTGCAGCTCATCGGGGATCCCTCCGGGGGATGCAGCCATGGTTAGGACCAGGGGGTCGCCCGCCCAAGGACGCAGGTGTCAGGGCAGCATCTCTGGGTGCCACGGGGAAGGCACCCTGCTGGGAGGAAGCGCTGAGGTTACCAACCGGCAGCGCTGCCGCCTCGGCACCTCCTCCCCCGCCTGGCGCTTGGTGCCTCTTCCTGCCCCGTCAGGCAAGATTTACCGCCTGAGCAAGAGAAGTGAAATGAAAGCGACGGCGCCTGCGGCCCACCAGCCCTGCCGGGAGGAGAGGGGCAGCCCTGCCCAGCCCTTCTCCTCCCGCATGTCTTCACCAAGGTGAGCAGGACCACCCAGCAGTGCCTCTCAGCCAGGAGCAGCAGCATCTCCCCATGACTCCAACCTCCGTGGGTTGAGGGTCCATAACCTTTCCCTGCCCTGCAGCCCCCACAGGTGGTTCATGGGGATGTATTTCTGCTTGAAGATAGCTGGTGAGTGTGAAAAGGGCAGCTCTACCCTTCCCAGAGCTGAAAGATCAGCCCAGCCCCATCACCTTGCACGGGGCATGTGCAGGACAAGTTAATAGGGATGGGTGGTGGTGCCCACTGCAAGGTGCTTCTCCAGAGGATGGGCGCCAGTGTCCACTGCTGGGTGCTTCTCTGGAGGCTGGGTTCTGGGGCCCACTGCAGGGCGCTGCAGACATGGCTTCTCCAGAGTAGAAATGCCTCAGGTGTCATGCCAAAGTGACAAAACCTCTGCCCTGAAGTAAGAGGCAGAGGCTAGGTGGACTCCTTAGAGAAATAGGAGTGTGCACATCAACCACTTCACTACCCAGGGAAGGCTCTGGACCAGGAAAAGAGCCAGAAGTGCTCCAGGATGAAGCAGAAAGCTGTCATGTGCCCTGTGCAGTGCTGCAGGACTTCACTCGCCCCAATATTGCTCTCTGTCAGCTCTGCTGGCCCTGCCAGAGACTCAAGAGAACATGCATAGCGAACCAGCAGAGCCTGGGTCCCCAAGACCAGCATCAGCTGGGATGGAGGGTGCCAGCTGCCTTGCCCCCCTGAATTGCTCCTTTTTGACAAGTCACCAAGCTCCAGGCTGCCTGAGCTACAATCTGCCAACCGGGGGCTCCCAGAGGGGTTTTCCCAGAGGTGTAATAACTCAGGAGAAGGTGATCCCTGGAAGGGCTGGGTGATGTTGCTCTTCTGCCGCATGCACCTGGGGCCACAGCGCTTCTGAAACCACCTTCAGCGTGAAAGCAAAGACAGGAAGCCATCTCCCTGCAGAGATGGTGTCTCCATAGAGCCCAACCACAACACACAGCAGCTCTTCTCAAGGGGGTGGCTGGGGAGAACATGGCTCCGGGCAAGGACCGACCTCTGCTGAGACACCTTCTTGAGCCTTCTGAGCTACGTCAGTGGGAAGACAAGCATTAGGAAGAGGAAGGACATGGGGTGTTCACCACCCAGCAGAGACAGCATCTGCCAATGACAGTCCTGGCCGCATCTGTGGCTTTTCCAGGATGACAGGAGACCAGGCTACTAGTATCTGAACTTCCCAGAAAGGGCACCAGGTCCCAGCTTTGTTATGCAATGATATTCAGGACATGGAAGGAGCAGCTGTCTCATTGCACCCATCAGAAGATGGCTTCTATTGAAGCTTAGAAGCACAATGGAGCTCTGTATCCCAAGCTCATTCCCCAAAATGTTGGGTCCCACATGCTGGAACATGCCAAGTATCCGTGCAGGGCAGAGGAAGACATCTATGAGCACAAGCATTTCCTGTCTGTTGTGCAAGACCAGGCATGTCAGGACATCTAGAGAAACCTACCTCCTCTCTTTCCCCATAGAGGACATGAGCTGGCCATTTTCAGCTCTATCCTAGAGTAACAGGACCTTCCCAGAAAGAGATCCTGGTGGTCTCTCCATCCCCAGATCACGCTTGGGGAGTTGAGCACTTAAGGGTTTCCTTAATTTGAGCTGGAGTTTCTTCTGCTCTAGTTTGTCTCCATTGCCTCTTGCCCTCTCACTGTGACACCTAAAAGGGTTTGGCTCAGTCTTCACACTCTCCCATCAGCTATTTGAAGACAGCAGTAAGGACCCCACTCACTCCCTCTCCTCCAGGCTGGTCACACCAGTCTCCCATGGCCTCTCCTCGTCCATCTCGAGCTCTGGTGGCACCCATCCTGGGAGACTCCACCAGCCTCATGCCAGTCTCCCAGGATGGTCTAAGATGGGACCAGCTGGCCCTACAAGTGATCCCTGAAGAACAAGTTAGACACCCTACTGCTGACCACACTGAGCATGGTGGCCCAGCCAGTTTCACACACCCCCAATAATCCTCTTCTCCAGCCCCCATGCCTTCAATTCTGCTATAAAGATGCTACATGAGACCATGTCAAAAGCCTTGCTAAAGTCCAGATGAACACGCAGTGCTCCCCCCTTGTCCGCACAGCCAGCCACCTCCTTGGAAAATGCAAGGGGGTATCTCCCCAGATTGTCCTCCTTACTCTTGAAGATGAGTAGGACATTTGCCTTTTTCTAGGTGTTATGAACTTCCCCAGATCACTGGACTTTTCAAAGATGAGAGAATGCAACGACATTGGCTGGCTTCCTCAGCTCCTCTGGATGTTTCTCTCAGACTCTGCCATTAGGCTTGGGCCCTGGGAGATCTGAATACAGACCTCACCTACCAAAATCAAGGCAAGAGCAGCACCGAGTACCTTGGTCTTTTCCATATCCTTTGCCACCAAGTCCTCTGCTCCATTAAGGAGCAAGCTTGTGTTTCTCCAAAGCCTTCCTGCTGCTGCTGAAGCTTTTCTTAATAGAGAAGCTGATCTTTTTGTCCTTCACATGCTTCTCTAAGTCCAGCTCCAGCTGAGCTTTGGCTCTCCTGACTCCATCCCTGCACACTCAAACAATGTCTGCTCATTCCAGGCAGCCTGTCCCCCCTTCTATTTTCTGTGTGCTTCCCTTTTACCTTCCTGCTTGCCCAGGCTGGCTGCCTACCACACTTGACTGACATTCTGCTGAAGACCTCCTTATATTTTGCATAGCTCTGGCCCATTTTCAGTATGCTCTTAAAAACATGTTCAGACCAGCAAATCCACCGTAGCTGCTCCCACCAACACAGCTTTGGACAGCGTAGGACAGTTTAGTCCTGTGAGCCCAGTCATGCCAGCGCTGGTCTGGATTCTGCCCACCTTCCAGGAGCCTTGCAGGAGTTGGGCAGCGTGGGAGACAGTAACTGCTCCACCAAGGGTGTCCCTCACTCCCCCACCTCTGCCAGCAGCTGCCTCCCGCCCTAGTCTCTCTGCCCTGTCCCCTGATCTGCATTTGTCCTCTTTACACCTGAAAAATCATCTGCTACAAGGATGCTAAGACAAAAGCGTAGAAGAGGTCATTAATTTTTCCTCCGTGAGGCAGAAGCATGCCATGGTTTGCATCAACAAAACCCCTAGTCTGACACCTTTTGCTGAAGAAGGGGTCTTGGCCCCCAGTTTAATAATGTGAGAGGAGTTAGTCCCCCTAACCTGGGTGAGCTCCCAACCTCTGGAAGCCAAATGAGCCTTTACCAGGCTGCAGCAGTCATGCAGAGCCAGCCCCAGTCCCTCCCCCCCTCAGGACAGCAGCCCAAGCACTACAGACGAGAGCCAGGGCAAGCATTCGGCCAAGGGAGTGATGCTCCTTGGATCCATACTAGCCCTGGCTTTTCACTCAGTCCAGCACACGGGGCACAGCTGTTCCAGCGCCAACAGCAGCACTGGGGTTGGGCAGGTATATTCTGTGCACATTCAAACTTGAGAGGCTGCTCTGGGTGCGCATCCTCAGGAGCAGGCTGGGACATTGCTCTGCATCTCTCCAGAGCAGCTCCAACCAAAGGCAAACCAGAAGCCTGGCAAAAGGGTCACACAGGCAGGGATACCTGACAAGGCAGGAGTGCCAACTCAAATCAAACAAAAACAAGGCTGCATAACAGGAGTATTGACCAAGCAAGCATAAAGAAACCAGGTCAACTAAGCAGACTCCAAAGGATGAGGGAAAAAGGAGGATGGTCACAGGGTGACTGCTATCATCCCTACTAAACCCTTGCTTGGGTCTCTGGAGAAAGTTCAGAAAGCAGTCAGTCCACCATAAAATGCTGCTTAGAAATAATTTTCTCAGATAAGCACAACAGAAGCCACCAGTGGTGCCCTCTGGAGACCAGCCTCATCTCCGCAGGCCGGCTGCAGCAGTGGGCTGTGCCTGGCTGGGCAGGAGCTGCCAAGGGACACAACACACCACCACCAGATCAGAGACTACTCAGGAGCAACCACACCTCTAGTCTTTGACAAATACACCCCGTGCTCTCTTCATTTCGGCCCGCCATGAAGCTGTTCACCTGCGGTCATTTCCTCCAGTTCCTCTGAACATCAGAGCTGGCAACACGTGCCTCAAGGTCACTCAGACCCTGGGTACCACGGCCCACGGGGGTCTTGCAGCAGTGCTCACACAAAGGGAGGGGCCTGCCAGAGCCAGCCTGACACCCTGGGGCAGTCACAAAGCCACTGCAACATCCTTCACACCTCACTTGCCAGCGGTAGGTTTAAGAAATGGTGATGTTCCTCAGAGATCCCAAGGACACCTTCAGTTTTCCAGCTCAGCAGAAAGCCTCCCTAGCTCTAGGCTTACACAGAAACGTGTCTCCTTCAGAGCACTGCCTCTGCCTGAAGTGCCTTTGGGCTTGGAAATGCACAAGCTCCTTGTCCAACTGCAAAAGCACTTGAGGATTTGTCTGCTTCTGCAGCCAGACCTGGCTCCTCCTTGCAGACGCAGCTCTCACATTTACCTCTCCCACCTGCTGAAACGAGCCTCCATCCTGCTCAGGATTCCATGTCAGCCTCCAGACAGCTTTTCTTGGCAAGTTCAAGGACCATCTCTCAGGACCAAAGGTAACGACACCAAACATCTAGTGGAAATTAAGTCTAGCAATTCTTGTGCTTTTTATTTCCTTTTCAATAAGTAGTATGTCATTTGCAGCAGCTGGTGTTCTGAAGGCAGTGG